AAATACATCATGAATTATTACTTATTTACTTGAGATTTTAGGTCATACTTGGTGGTGCTTAGGAGCTACTCCAAGCACAGTGCTTGGGGAATTCAGGCTATTCCAGGATAGAGGACATCCAAATGCAAAGTATATACAAAGTATATACAGTCTTTTGAGATGTACCTCAGTGCATCTTGGTTTTATAACTACTTTGTGTGTCATGTATATATGTGGGTGGGTGTGTAAAACAGACAGTAGAAGGTGAAACTAATATGATGAAAATGACAAACGTGTAGCACACACAAATACTCAACGGAAATGAACAAGATGTGATGAGGTAAATCAAGTCAATATAAAGGATAAAGGAATGAAGACATGCTTAGAAAAATAAACAGCAAGATAGGAATAACACACACAAAAAGAGAACAGAGAATAAGAGAGCTAAAAAGACAAACACTTTCAATAACTCAAAAAATATTTATTGAGGGGAAAAACAGATTCAAAGAGATCAGAAGACCAAGGGTATCCCAGTAACTCTGGCTATTTACAGCATGGTGGGAAATACTAAGTTTAAAAGCCATATGCTAGACTCTAAAGGAGGCGAAGGTAGACTCCTTTTTTTTCTAAGGTAAGTTGAAGGCGTATCTGTAATATAGACTGTTCTAACAGGAAAACAACTATAATTTTTAGAATAAAGTATATTTTATAATGTATATAGAACTATCTAGAATTCCCTATACATTAAAGGAAATTTAGTCTTCCTAAGATGTACATTCGTTGCATATTTCATGTAAATTTTAAAATAAGTATAGATTATTCATACTATTTTAAAAATTCATATGCCTGTAAAATAGGCAAAGATTTTTAAAAAATATCAACTTACTATTGATTTACAATTTTGTGGAATTTTAGGAGTTAACCTTAAGTATGTGGCGCATAGTATCACTACCTTCACAATAAAAAAGATATTTTTCATATGAGGTTCATAAAGAAAGAGGGTAAGGGATCAAATTGCCAAAGATATCAGAAGAAGATATTTTTTCCTACAGAGCTGAACCTGGGGGAGAGCTGGATGGAAGGAGTCCTTGGAACATTAGTGGGAGGAAGCAGCAACTCTGGTGGTGGGTATGGAATTGGAACTATGTATACATAAAAAGGATAATTAACATTAATATAAATCATAGCACCTTAATAAAAATGGTGAAGGATTAAAAACAAGAAATAAATAAAAGTTGAATTGAACCTATATCAAACTATCTGCTTGCTCTGCCGACTTTTTCAACAATGATAAGCTCACTAGGAATTTAAGACAGACCTTTTTGAAACAGCAAGCAATATTTCTGCTGTGTTTTTTCATTTTAGATTATAAAATTTTTATAGAGGTATACAGAAATTGAGAACTTTACTTTTGCACATTCAGAGGTCAGAAGCACAGATTCCAGAAGAACAACTCTCTTTGGTATGTAAATTGCATGCTGTTTAATCTTTGTTTCCAGATAAGTCAGTTTTGCTTCATGACCTGGTCACTGGTAGAAATATAAAACCAACTCCTTTCTTCTTTTTAAATTTAATTAAATTTTTGACTCAGGTGGGCCATCATTAAATAAATAATAAAAATAAAATTATGATATCTTCAAATTATGATATCTCCACACTTCCAAAAATCAACTTCAAAAACACATATGAACAAATATTTTCCATTTTTAATCTATAAGTCGAACAGTACCATTCAGTCAAAATATAATATCAAGTATATTTTAAATTTCTCAGAATTATATTAAAATATGGGGTAGAATTTTAAATTTTAGGATATTATGTGTAAAATATTATAATTTCAACATGTAAACAACAAAAAATATCTTAATGACATATTTTACATTTTTCCCATATTATTTTTCAATCATTTTATACTTACAGCATACCTCAACTTGAACTTGCGACATTTCAAGGACTCATAAGACACATTTGGCCAATGGCTCTTGTGTTAATTAGGCAGAAAAAATTTGAAATATTTCCCTGTGGATTGTGCATATCTTCCTATTGCTAACTCTGCCAAAGACTCAATGAGTTTAAAATAAAATCTAAAAGACAATTTTGATTTCCAAGCAAAGTAAGTTTGCAACGCTATTTGGACATTTTTGGAATATGAAGACATTGAGTAGGTGTTTTTACATGGCCTTATGAAGAGCTATACAAATTTATGTTAATGGCAACACTTTTTTTTTATAACAGTTTAGTACTTTTTTTTTAAATAATAGTGCACTTAGACTTTGGAAACAACCCAAACACCCAATGATAGATGGGCGGATAACAAGTTATGGTATGTATATATATAGTGATATTTATACATATATTCACAAAGGAACACTATTGTGCTGTAAGAAAGGATAAGTTTTGCTTTTGTTGCTAAAATAAGGATGGAACTCAGAAGAAGAAAGACAAACACTGAGCAATTTCACTCATAGGTGGTAGTATATGAATAAATAAAGCAAGGGAATAAAGTGTCCAAATTCTTAGACTTTGACAACAGAACTGAGGTGCCGTAAGTGGAAAGAGAGGGCTAAAAAGTTACAATGGATTATGTAGGAGAGATATTGGCACTTTGGCATTAGTAGTGTGTTCCTGTAAAACATGTAAAGAATTATATGTTTGTTACCTCAATAAATTAATAATAATAATGAAAATGTGTGTCAATTCCTTACTTATATAAAATCATTGGTCCATCAGAGTTTAAAACAGAAAACTCCAAGTGGGAAATAATGGCCACAGAAACCAACCCTGCCCAGCAATTAGGTCATTGAGTAGGCTCTTCTCAGTATATTTCTTGCACCCTGTTTAATCTCTGTCAGCTTTTATCACAGTAGACAAAGTTCTTTGAGAGACTATTCATTTTCACTGGACACACTTCAAGTGTTCCATAGTTACACATGGCTAGCAGCTGTCATACTCAACAGCACAGATATACAGTATTTTTATTATCATAGAAAGTTCAACTGGACAGTACTGTTATATCATAACACTCATAGGTATGATAGGGGCTACCTACAATTTTTCAAATGACCAAAGAGGATATCAGAGTTATCAAACAACAAATAAAGAAGCAATACATTTCAGATGCAGAACACTATTATGTTTTCTCCTATGAAAATGTAGCAACATATCTCTACCTCAGTTTTTTGCCTTTCCCTCAGGATCTTCTCCCTTGATTTCTACCAGGTGTAATCCCCACAACCGTCCCTCTTGCCTTGGCTAGCCAAAATGTCTAAGTGTGTTCCCTTACTTTTCAAATGAAGTAGGCCATTTCAAAAGAAATACTATTACAAAAGCTAGGAGAGAAAAGATAGAAAACATAAAAAATAATTTAAAAAGTTAAGCTAGGGATAGATAGTATAGCAGATAAGGCACTTGCCTTGCACACAGCTGCCCGGGTTCAGTCCTTGACACTCCATATGGATTCCCATACATTACCAGGGGTGATCCTTGAGCACTAAGCCAGGAGTAAGCCCTGAGCACTACCAGATGTGTCCCAAAAACAAAAATTAATGATAAAAATAAAATGGGCAAGTGAATATATAATTTTCCTTTGGTTGGGACCCTCTTAAGCCATGCTCAGGGGAATAGGGGACCACTTGTGGAAATATTCAGGTAAATTATCTGGCAGTTCATTTATAGGACTCGAGAATACAGTGGTGCTGTGTGGTACTAGGGTCCACCAAGGCCACCCTGGCAGAGCTCATGAGCCTTCAGGGATACACAAAGTGATGTTGGAGGGGCCATATAGGACTGCATGCTTAGCCTGTGCCCTGATTAAAGTACTATCTCCTGGACCTAGATTTTTCTGAAAGTAAGAATCTCAGGAAAAGCAGTGAAGTACTAAAAGAAGTTCAACATTTTCTTTTCAGAAATCAGACTCTAGGGTCTGGAGAGTAAGTATAGGGATAAGTTGTTGCCTTGCATATACCTGACCCTGGTTTGATCTCCTGCACCATATATGGTCCCCCAGAAGCATCGGGAATGAATCCTGAGCACAGAGTGAGGAGTAGGCCCTGAGCAAAGCATGTGTGGTCCAAAAGAAAAAAGGAAATAAAAACACAAAACTGACTACTCTGTTAACCTGTTAGTACAATTTGGAGATAAAACAGTTATATGAATTTTCTTCTCAGTCTCTTGTTTCATCCAGGGGTAGTATCTTAATTCCAAGTACAAAGCATTTATTTAAATATCTTGTCTCATTGCCCATCTTAAGGACACTTGAATTTTCTTTAAACAAAATTTTTATCCTCCTGATTCAAAACAGTATTGCCTCTTGATATCCTCCTATTTATTTTCACACTGAGAAATAGTTGTAATAGAAGAAGCTCTGTAGAACAGGGAACTCCCATCTTCAGCTCTACTGCGAAAACTAGCTCCATGGTTCCTATGCCTAGTTGATAATCAGGATTGTTGCAGGGAATTTACGAAAATCATATTCCTGAAACACTCCAGACCTCTGAATCAAAGTTCTGAAAGTGGGGCCTGGTACTCTTTATTCTTAACAAACATGAAAGGTAAAATGATACATCTCATCTCATATAGAGAGTTCACTGATCTGTTTTCTCCTTACTCATAGAGTAAACGCTGCCACCTTGGGAACATTCAATAAAGATGTTCCCTACTACCTGTAGCTTTGTACTTTGACAACAAAACAGGACCTTACATAACATCTGTAAAGATGTAGGGTGCAAAGGTACCAATAACCTTACCACTTTTCTAGGGAAATTAGTGTCAATCTTCTAACTATATGAGATCAAAATGTCCTTTAAATTTTAATGTCATTCCAGTAGCATTAAAGATTCTAGCAGAATGTATTCCTAAACTAATAATCTGTCTGTCATGCTGAAAAGCCAGTACTGAGAATATGAAACATGGTATAATCCAGGAAATTTGAAGCATGATTTGTCAGAAAACTAAGCTGTTACTAAATCTTAATGTATGTATCTGGTGGCTGTCTATTGATATTTCAAGTAACAATCACTTACCCTTGACCAATTTTTTCAAATCTCGTGTATTTTTTCTTTGGGTCACCAACACTCACAATGCTTCCTGGGTTGGGGTGGGTTCAGAAAGAAAGAAGAGAGAAATTGAAATAGATGGATTAGTTTACTTTATTTAATATTCAAAAGTTAAGATGCTAAAGTCAATGACGAAGTGATGGATAAATAATTCTATGCAATTTGTACTACTTATATGTAGAATGATATATTACATTAAAGTAAAAATAGCAGCATATTAAAGTAGTGATATATAACCTATGTGTCTTATATTTATAATCGATGGTGCCCCAAATATTGGGGAAGTTTTTATAAAGTACACATGAAAATCATTAGTTTATCATGTTTGGCTCTGGTAAAACATACATTGGCTTTGTTATTTAAAAACATTAAGCCCATACTCAGAGGATAAATAGTTACTATTATTATTATAATAGTTACTAATAAAAAAATCTAGAGGCAGTATCATTGACACTTCAATGCATACAAGAAAATTATCAGTGATTGCAGCAGCACTTATATGTCATAAATGACATCATATAAAAAGATAATTCATATTTTAAAGGACATCATATATATGGATAACTCATCAGAACCTCCTTTCTTTATGAACTCAATCATCAGCACTGTTACTAACAGTATCTTACAGCCCTTTGTCCCAACACCACAGGATCCAACAAGCAACTATCTTCAGGATCTAGCACTGAGCCATCTGGCCCGGTTAGCAGAGAATCAGCAGGAAAGGCCACCAGGTCATTTCAGCATTACCTGTGGCAGCAGGGGGTGGGGGTCCACCTCAAAAATAGCCCTTCTAACTCCAGGATGAAGTTCAAATGTTCTAGTATGGAATAGAATACCCTTTACCATCCAACACTTCTAGCTCCTATCTTACCAGTCTACCTCATGTTTGTATTATTTTCCATTTAACTCACTTCATATTCTAGTGATGCAATTGAAATGTTAGGTTTTTACTCTTTTTTCCCTTCATCTAATCCTTGAATCTTTATCATTTATGTATAACCTTATACTCCTTTATGAAGTATTTTCTAATCCTTTTGATGAGACTAATATAATTCTTTTTGGAGAGGACTTTGTCTTTTTGTCCCTATAACTATAGTACTAGTATAGAGGCTAACCACTAAAAGAGGTCTTTGATGACAAAACAAATGAGAACAAAAATATTTATTCGTCTGCAAAATTTTGTGCTGCACAATACCTACTTTTGATAAGGATCTATTTTCTGGGTCGATGATAAACTTAATTAAGACCCATCAGTATTATATGAAAATATGAACAGTTAGATATTTTTTCATCAATTGTTTATCAGTTTATTGGGCTTTTCTAGTCTGGTTTTCTCGTCCATGTTTTAGTTAAATAAAATTTAGCCAATATGTGCTGCAATCTAATTATTTTTCTCTTGTATTTCCAATCTCAGTAGATAGTACTATCTTCTACATAAATCAGTCACCAAAGTCAAATATCTGGCAGTTAATGGTGCTCAGGGGCTACTTCCAGCTTGGTGTTCAGGAGACTATGTGACACTGGGAATGGAACCTGGGCTTTGTGAATACAAAGCATGTGCTCCAGAACACTGAATCATCTCTCAGGGCCCTTAGGTTTCTTCATTTTGGTTTCTGGATCACACCTGGCCATGCTCAGTGGTTTATTTTTGTCTCTGCACTCAGGGATCATTTCTGGCAATGCTTGAGGGACCATATTCGGTACCAGGAATTGAACCCAGGCTGGATATGTGCAAAGCAAGCACCCTGCTCACTGTCTACGCATTCTGACCCCTTGGGGTTATTTTTGACTAATACATTACCTTCATTTTTCCATATAAGTTGTCAACCAAGTCTTGGGCCTGTGTGTGTTTATCTCCTAAATATTTTTAATTACTTTTATTTCCAATTTGTATTTTTATATTTACATTTTTATTGAATCACAGTGAGACATACAATCACAAGTTGTTCATAATTGGTTTTCAGTCATATATTCCAACACCTATCCCTTTACCAAGTGTACATTTCCCACCACCAATGTCACCTGTTTTCCTCCCCCCAACACCTCCCATGGCCTGCTTCTATGGCAGATATGTTCCTTGTTTCTCCCTTTCCTTTGGGGCATTAATAGTTTGCAGTACAGATACTGCAATTTTATCATGCATATCCCTTCACCTACTCTCCTCGATTTTTTTTGTAACTGTTCTCTTACTCTTACAATGGGCTGGAGCCATAACACAGCGGGTAGGGCATTTGCCTTACAAGCGGCCAACATGGCTGACCCGAGTTCGATTCCTCCGTCCCTCTCGGAGAGCCCGGCAAACTACCGAGAGTATCTCGCCCACATGGCAAAGCCTGGTAAGCTACCCGTGGTGTATTCGATATGCCAAATACAGTAACAATTGTCACAATGGAGATGTTACTGGCCTGCTCGAGCAAATCGATGAACAATGGGAGGACAGTGACAGTGACTCTTACAATATTTCAAGTTAGGCTTTCATTGATTTTCCTCTCACCCCGGGCTATTCTCATAGTTTCCAAAGTAGATTTTCTTTCCTCTCACTTCAGTTCAAGTTCTATACAGTTGCTAAGATGCTCTTAGAGCAGAGTTTGTCATGTAATTCTCTGGTTCAGGAATCCTGGATGTTTACCTAACACCAGTACAGGATAAATTCAATTCTATACCAAACTTCTTGGCATGGAATTAAAGGTCCTTCATGATATGGCTCTTGCTTCACTCTTTGTTTCATCTTTCACCATTTCCCTATTTGTACCCATATCTTGACAATAACAAATTAATTTTTATTCACATGTGATTAGCTCATGCTTAATAATTGATCTCTTTCCTCCATTCTCATTCAACATAATTTCTATGGTTAAGTGATATTGAATAAATTAGATTTTACAGGTATATGTCTTTATAATCTCTTTACGTGTTATCCCATACTTCGAATGTTTTTGTTATGTTTGCTTCCCAGCAAATTCCTTTTTATAATTTAAGCCTGCCTCTTCTAAGGCGCCTTCCCTGATTCTGGTGAATAAAGTTATTTATGTTCTTTCTCTGTACTACCATGCTTATGCTAGCACACAATGTCTCTCATTATATATCTTTATCTATATTTATTTGATACACCTTTATACACTATCTTAAGAGCCATATAGTAACTATCTCTGTGACTTCAATGCTGTATACAATGGATATGCAATTAAATCCAACTAAGCATTTTTTGTAGTAAACATTCCATACTTTTAGACAGGGATTATAGAGTATATGCACTTGAGATATATTTAACAATTTCTGAGTTCATATTTTGGTTTTCAAAATGTCAGAATTCTACATTACTTAAATACAGAAATACTTTGTAATAAGGATTAATATATTAATCCACTTAAAAGCAAGCTATTAATAAATAGGAGCCTGAACTTCTTTTAATGAAATGATTTTAAACTCACTTAAAAGTATAGTTTAATTTAGCAGTTCAAAGAAAGACACCCTAGCAATTTGCTGAACAAAGTCTTTTCCATACTCTGAACGAAAGGAAATAAATTTCATCCCAAACCACTTTCTGAATTATGACCAATTCCAATTGGCAGAGTTCAGTTAATGAGGTTTTATGGTATTAAATCGCTCAACATTTATTTCCATGGTATCCACAGAAGGGAAAAAACCCTGTGAATAAATTATTTCAATGCATCACCAAATACAACCATTTTGATGAGATCCTGCTTCTGAATTTAACAGCTATTCACATAAAATGGTGTCACCACACTCTTTACCCTTCACAAAGAGTGTGTGCTGCCATCTACTGATATTAGGGAAGTGTACAGGAAGCCTTGTTTATAATTCAGGATCACAAAATTTTTTAAAGTGACACATTTTATTTACTCTAATAAATTACAGAGAATGCAAAAATTATTTTAAACACAATATTTAAAAAGTGATCAAAATGAGTAACTGAAAAATCAAAAGGGAAAAAATGTTTAACAATATCAGAACAGTTTCCTCCCAGAGGAACTGATTAAATAAGTGACAAGACATTCTAAAATTTCAGAATTTAAGACATCATTAAATGTCAGAATTTGAAAATAGGGTTTACAATGTTGTTTTAGTAGCAGGAAAGTTCATGAATAGAGTCCCTGATATATTGCCCTAAGTTTTACTTCCACCATTAAGAGATGATCCCTAAAAATGATCAAAATGAAGGTTTTGATTCCTGAAAAAAATTATCTAAATTAGTATCAGTTTTAACTGAAGGTGAACTAGGCAAAATATTATAGTAGGGAATTAATGAGAAGTATAAGAGAAGAAGATGGTGGGGCCCAGAAGACAGAGACCAACGAGAATTTTTTTCATTAAGCATTTTTTTTTGATAGTCAGGGCCTTTTGAAATTTTTCACTAAAATGTATTTTTTATTTACAACAGTTTCAGACAGACCACAATGAGCACATCGGACTCAGGCTGTCTATATGAAACTGAAAGATGATCTGTTCATTTAAAGCATTAATGATCCCATGTCTGGCCTCCATAATTGGTATCTCCATGGAAGATGAAAGGGATTACACGGTGTCGGGGGGCAGTTGGTGGGTGTGACCCCTGCCTACTGGAAGATGGAGGATCTGGGTGGAGGATGCTCACCCCTGATCCGAGCAGGCTTGGAGATCTCAGCCTTGGGACCCGCATGCCTTTGTTCCTCTGCTGGTATCTTCATGCGTGTGGAGAGTGGTCTCAGCATGGTTGTGGCTGGTTCTAGAGGTCTTCGGCTGCCCGAGCTCTGCTCAGGGCGGGGAGGGAAACTCAACCCGCCCCCCTCCAAGGGGCCCTGGCGAGGACAGAGGACACCCAGGCGCGGGGGCAGGATACCCTGCTCTGTTCTCTTCCAGGAGCTGGGTTTTATAGTCTCTGGGTCTTGGTCATTGATGGGATTACACAGTGCCGGGGTGGGGGTGGGGGTGGGGACAGTTGGTGGGTGTGACCCCTGCCTACTGGAAGATGGAGGATCTGCGTGGAGGATGCTCAGCCCCGATCCGAGCAGGCTTGGAGATCTCAGTCCT